TCTTTCTTTCTCCCTTTCCTATCCCTCACTCATGTCTGTCCCGTCTCTAACAACTGAAAATAAAATAAAATAATAAAAACAAAGGTCGATCAAATGGACCAATACGGCAATGCCATGATGATCCATTTGGCAAAATAAATCCATTGGGTATCCTTGTTGGTCTTCAGACAACAATTCTGACAGCTAAAAAACCAAATGGGACAGGCAAAAAAAATAAATAAATAAATAAAATAAAAAAATATTGCCTGCCTGTCCCTTTATAACAGTCTACCCTTCTTCTGATGGCCATTTCTAGCAGGATAACAAGCCATATTACAAAGGTCTATTAATCTCAGACTTGGTTTCTTGAAGATTGACTGAGTTTATTGTACTCAAATGGCCTCCAGTTACCAGATCTCAATCCAATCCTTACCCAGAAGGAACACAGACCTCAACCACACAGATGTACAAACTGTTTTGGCTAAACACTACAAAAATGTGAACTTTCTGACAAGAGGCAAAAAATAAAAATCTGGACAAAATTTACACAAACATTAAAGAAGCATACAAGGCGTTGCCCTCTGTCTGTTGGATCACATTTCACTGGCAGTGACTCCATAATATAGAACTCTAATCTGTAGAATCAGATCAGCTGTTAAAACTCTTCAGGTCTGGAGTGAGGAGATCACTTCACTACTACAGAACTGTTTTGAAAGTGCAGCTTGAAACAGGAAATGAGTATAAACTCCATGACAAGCCTATTTCTCATTTTGAAATGGCCCTTTACTGGCACAGTTAAACACACTACATGCAAATCAAACTCAAAATTCTGTATTGTTCATAAGCTTCCAAATCATCCAAGGATTATCTAAAAAGGGGAAAAACTACTACCACTACTACTTTACCAATGTTGTATTAATGTTTGATTTGGAACTGGTAGCTTTCTCATTCTTTTAGTATAATGTAATGTGTGATGTGACATCTGGGATTTATCTGAAACCAGACCTATAATGACACAATGTTTGATCAACTCTAAGGGCCAGTGTAACTTATACTAACTAGTTGCATTTGCTAAAAAAAAAAACCCCAACAATTTGCATGCTTCAGACACGTTTGCATCTGACAGCATCCATTGCTGTTGGTGAGAAATGAGACTGCTTTTGTTTGCTTCTGTGTGAAATTGAATAGCCATTGTTGTGCAATGGTAGAATGAAAAGCTTGACAAGCGTAACGTAGCAATAGAGTAGCACTGAATTTACACTTGTTTAAAATTCACTTATCACTCTCTGTTTGATTGCCTCATGCACTCTTTTTCCAAGCAGCTGAAGCAGACAGCATGACGGGATAGAATTGCTACAACATCAACAAAGCTATGACTGCGAAGATTACACATTTCATAGAGTATAAAGAGGCTTTCCATGAAAAACCTCAACCATAAAATCTCAATATACAGCATGGAGGTCAAGAAGGTAGAACATTCAGAAGTGGCCCTTCATGGAGCAGTTTGAAACTAAGTGTTGCTTTTAAGTATATGACCACTGGAACTTTCACCTACACACAATTAAAATTAAAACAACACTCTCTCATACCTACAAGAGGTTATACAATCTTTGTGCTAAGCGACTTTCCTATATTGATTAAAAAGAGAGTATAATTTGCCTCAGAAAGTAAAGGTGGTAAAAATAGAGAAGCGAAAATATACAGTAAAATAGTTGTCAGACCCTATAGCTCCCCAGTTGCTCTCAGGCTTTTTACTTTTATCTGTTAGTAATATAACAGAGTTCAGCAGTTACATCTACCAGATGTTAAACTGAAGGTCAGACTAACTGTTCAAACTAACTGTAGGTGACAAACACACAAGCAGTAGAAGGAGAGAAAAGGCAAAACAGAGAGAGAGAGAGAGCGTGGGAGTGAAATCATTTGGATGTTATGTAATTGTTTCATAACAGATTCAATGATGATCTTCTTGACCAGGCTAATTGCTACATTAAATGCTGAGTCAAATGTGAAACTTGAGCTCTGAATTAATTCAAGGTTATCCCGCCCAAATAGCCTCACAAATTAATGTGCTAATGAGAAAGACTGTTTGAAGCCCCCTTGTGTGGACTTTGCATCATTTGGGATATTCAGCTTATGACTGAGTACTTTTTTTTCTGCTGAAACAAAGGCTCCGAAAAATTAAGATTGTTGAAAAGTTGTTTGACAAGAGCTGAAAGCAAAGCAGAAATTCTGACTTCACTTTTAAGCATGAAACAGCAGCTCGAAGCAGTGAATGGTATAAAAATATCTATTTCTCCTTTAATCAGTGTCATATTGAGTAGAAGCAGAAGAAGTATAAATAAATAAACGTAGTGCATTGTAGTGGTCTGCCCTGCTGCCTGTTCAGGGACTATCTTGCTTTTCACCCATTGTCAGTCAAGTTAAACTTTTCTTAGACCAAAACAAATGATGACAGGATGCATGACCAATTTACCAATCAATTAATCCAAGAATGTAAAATATGCAAACTAAGCTATTACATCTTAGAAATCCAAACTGTTCTGTTTTATAGGGAGATGACTGGGTTTTTCGTATTTTCCATTTTTGTTATAGTTTCAATCAATAAAAATAACCAGTAATCCAATTCTGTCTACAGTAGATAAACCATGGCCTGTTCCTAAGTGCATTATGAAAAAAGTCAGTGAATTACATGTGAAGGGCTCTGTTGTCATAGGCATGGGAACTATCGTCACTTCCAAATTTTGCTTCCATAAATAAATAAATACATTTTGATGGTGCAACTCCAGCAACTGCACAGTTGACTTTTGTTTGATTTCAGTGTCCCCAGTAACCTCTATACTGTATTTATGATCTTTTTTTTTTTTAACTTACATCTTCAACAGAAAACAAATAATGTTGTTGGAACAGAGCTTTACCTTTCAGTTAATGATAGTGAGATGATTCTATGCCATCATGTTTGAATGTTAGCGCTTTAATAAAAGTAGTCTTTGCTTACTAGTCTACAAGTGTGCCAAATGTGTTATGCACAGATGTGAGCCTGTAAGAGTATCAAAGAAACAACCGTTTTTGGGTTTTTTTTTTTTCTTTTGAGTCATCTCTCCCCATGTGTGATCCAGAGGAGCTCTGTACAAAGGTTATCTGGCGTGTCCTACAGGGAGTGTAACAGGGCCAGCTGCTGGCAGAGGTGCTGTGATGCGGACGGCTGCTGTTGTGTGATGGCTTCACTCAGCAGGGATGAGTAATGGTAAACAAGTGTGGCAGTGCGGTCATAGCTTTGGGGAGGCAGAGCCAGAGGAGAGCTGCAGTAAAATGTCAGCGCACAGTTTCTTCATGGAGTTCACAGACTGGTTTGAGTGCCAATGCAGGATTTCTAAATAGGCAATGATTGGCAGATTGGCAACTATTAGGTTTAATTTTTCTGGTGATAATGAGTGTCAGTGGCAATGCCTTATCGTAGAGTTTGATTTGAAGGTCATCTGCATACATGGGAATACAGACACAAGACACTCCAGTCTCACTGAAAAACAAGACAAGACCTCAGTGGGGATACTTGCCATCCAACTCTATTTCTCCAATGCCATTTTTAGATCATCCTCCGCATGTAAGCAAATAATTCACATCCCACTTCCACCAGCACAGCCAACTTTTTCCTTGGAGCCAACTCAGTCTCTGCAACTGACATGAGCCAATTACAGTCGTCTGGTTCCAGGAAGTACAGCCATTGCTCTTTTTTAATTTTTCTTTTCTTTTTTTCCTCTTGAGCTAATTTGATTCAATGTACTCAGTGAAAGTGTTGCATTTGTCCACTGCACAAAAATATGCATTTAAAATTTTGGCTCATGCTTTTTTGTGTTTTGTTTTGGCATCTCTAAAAAATAAAGCTGAAGAAAAAACAACAAACGCTGGCTATAACAAGGCATAAGCTGTGAAGGGAAAAATTAAATCTCTGTAATTGAACACCCCATGTGGATCGACATCTGTGTGATGCAGTCAAGTGTGGCTGGCCATGGATGTAATTTGGGGCTGTGCCTGCTGTAACATGCGCAGATAACAGGGCCTTGTGAAAATGTAAATTCTTCTCTTTTAAAACGGTCCAGCGAAATCCCACCTCCCCTCAGCTCAAACATCTCTACTGGACATTAAAAAAAACCAGAGCCTTAGCTGCTCATTATGTGCCAAAAGGCTGCACAGCTTTCTCTGCCTCCTGTGTCTCGAGGATGCTGTTGTGCCATTGGGGGTGGACATCGTTAACTCTTTTAAATCTCTGTCAAACTTTGAGAAAAATGAGAGTTGATAAAGTCAGGGAATGTTGGTGAGGGGACAAACAAACATCAAATGATTTTTTTAAGCTTTTGCTGCAGTTTTGTGTGACTGCTAACAGGAGATACTGAAACAGAAATGTACCCCATGAGGTGCAATAACAACAGACAGGGAGCGAACACTAATAGAAAAAAGTATTGCATTTGCTGTTAAATGTTCCACTTGTATTGCAGAAGTAACAGAACATTAAATTTGTTTAGTTAATAAAAATAATGACAATCCATTTGCTGTGTTACAAGTAGCAACACAGTGTGCTGTTACTGTATGACTTTTCTAAAGCTAAATCTGAATACTTTTTGATGTTATTAATTGCACCTTCTCTTTGCCTGCTTTTTCTTTTATTACCAGGCACACAGACACCACAGTACTGCTCAGGGTGCTTGCCACCACAGCAACCTAATGAGTTTTCACACTGTCCAACAGTTAGATCGGGCTGCCTTACAAGAACTGGTGATTTGCTGCTTCGTCTCTATCTCTTTATCTCTACAGGGCGTTGATACTTTAATCATCACAGAAGCATGGCTTTGAATTCAAACAATTATTTAGGTGACCGTATTAGGCATTCTCACAGCTGGATCTGATTCCTCATATTACATTTGTGAAATGTGTTAAAGGCAATTATACCAAGGAACACATTCATAATAGATATCAGGGATAGGATAAAGCTGCTGTGTTTTTGTTATACCAGCAGTCTAAATTTTGCCCAAAGCACTGTCACTGGCTGCAAGACAGCATTAGCCTAACTGGTGGTATGAAACACAATGTATAAGCATATCATATTTAGACCTATTAACATATTCTGTCAGTATCTGCATCTATATTTATGTTTATGTATGGATTGGAGATTATGACACTGACAAAAAGACAGGAGGCAAAGCTGCACTTGGCAGAGTTGAAGATGATAAGATTTCCATTTGGAGTGACCAGAATGGAAAGGATTAGAAATGAGTACAGCTCAGGGTTAGTCTGTGTTTGGATATGTGCACAGGAGGGATATGAGAATATAATAGGCAAATGATGTTAAATATGCAGCTGCCAAGCCAGCGGAAAAGAGGAAGACCACAGAGAAGATTCATGGATGTAGTGAAGGTGACTATGCAGAGGGTTGTCTTATCAAAGGATGCCAGGGATAGGTCAAGTTGGAGGCAGGTAGTCTGCGGATCATCAAAGCTGAAAGAAGTGTTTTTCTATGGATTTGAAGGATTGCTATGTGCATTTTAAATATAGCAAATGTTGCACATTTGCATTAAACTGCATTAAAGAAAAAAAAAAGTCTCATGCTTCTATTGGCTCATTAAACACAACTCTATATCCATTGTACTGACCCACACTGCAGGCTACTTGACCCACTCTTCCATCTAGTGTTGAGTACGTGACATTACGTCTGTCATTATAGAGAATTAAATTGTAAAAGGTTATAATAGTCGAACATTAAACCAAAAGATTTATTATGGATAAGAGTAGTTTATGAAGCAATAAACGACAGTAGTAGTGATGGATAATATTTTGCTTTTCACGAGGTCAGGGTGCATTAATATTTTGCATTTGGATAAAGTGCGCATGCGCAACAGGGGCCGGATTCTGCTAGAAGGATCAAATGTTTTTGTTGTCGTGTGGGATGGAAGGTAGTTGACAGGTCGACATCGATATCTACGACGGTAAACGTTTCTCAGGTAAACAAAACAACCCTAGGTTTCTTGTCGGTGTTTGTATTCATTAGTTGGTGTCACCTTTTAAGTCGAAGCAGGTAGCATGTTTGGGCTACATATGCTAGTAGGTTACCCAATGTTAGCTTTAGTAACGCTGTATTTCATAGCTTCTATTTCATGTGTCTTACAACAGCCTCGTTTTTACTTGGTATAATTTAGAGTATGAGGCCACAGGAAGTTGGAATGGAGCTTAGACGTTAAGATGAGCTAACATAACCGCAGGCATGTCACAGCCTTTGATGCTAGTATGTAAACACAGTGCTGATAAGAGCTAAACACGCTGAGCATACATGTACACGACTGTTTGACATCGTCTTCCATAAATATCATCATGTAACCAAAAATAGCCAAGTTATTCTAAGGAAACTGAAATGAGAATGTTTTCATGTTGCAGGGTACTAGAATATTCCAGTAACACTCCCATTCAGTGGTATTTCCAAATACAGTTTCATACTTTTCCTAAAGTAAAATAAACTGGCAGATATCATAACAGTAAAACATCATTTGACTTTAAAACCTCCAGTGTCACTTGTGGGAGTGTTTCAGGTAGAGTTTTATTTCATTGTATAACATTATGAGGTCAATAATAAGTAATCCGTTACTGTAACTATGGTTTCTGCTGTTCTTTTAAAAAGGTTGTCTTACTTTTACTTGTGTGTACTGACAGAGCAGGCAGTGCAGATTCCATGATATTGTTCTATAAGTAAAAGAACAACAAAGTGTGGTCTAGAGTGTTGGCTAGAAAATTGTTTTTGTTCTGTAATTGTATTTTTATATTGCAAATAACTGAGTGTAAGCTAAAAGTGTAAGGAACAGCGTTATATTTATAGGCCTATAAATGACCTGCAGTAATGTAAATGTATTCCAGAGAGAATGGTATACTCAAACAAATACACCGATCCTTTAGAGGAATTGGGTATCATGCTGAAAGATTATTATTAGGATCACATTTAAACTAACATAACAAGACAGTTGACACTGAAACATATACAAGATATCTGTTATTAACGTCCCAGGGATTGTTTTGGAGTCAATAAAGGAAGTCATAGTTGTTCAGTATAATACACTTAGAAATGGAAAAGTTGTAGTCTTCCCACATGATTCAGCTTGTTCTACTGCAGAAGTCACTATAAATAGCATTAGTACCTAAAAATGTCTCTTTTGAGAGTTGCAGGCCTAAAAAGCAACATTTTAACCAGTAAGCCTTTAGCAGTTATAAATAAATCTGTAAGGTGTTATGTAGTCTCTTCTGACTTTACGGCTTTCTTTACACAGCTGAATCAACTCTACTTGCAGTGACCTTGTAACAGCCTGCCAGAAGACAAAGCCATGGGGAATACAAGCAGTGAGAGGGCTGCAATGGGCCACGGAGAGAAGGCGCAGCGGAGGGACAGCCGAGGTATCAAAGAGGGCGAGAGGCCAAAAATCCTCATGGATAGCCCAGAGGATGCTGATATTTTTCACGGAGAGGACATAAAGGTAAATTGGGCTGCTCTCTCAGAGGTGCATATCAGGTAGAATTTATAGCCTTCTTGGCCCTTTAGATTTCTTCAAACTCTAATCCTTGTTGATAAACAATATTCTTGTGTATGATATGCATTTAAGGCACCCTTAGAGAAAGAGGAGTTCCTTGCTTGGCAGCAAGACTTAGAATCAGATGACAAAGCACCAACTCTGGAACGACCGACAGTCTTTCGCTGGAAAGGAGATGGAAAGGAGGTCTACCTCTCTGGATCCTTCAACAACTGGGCCAACAAAATTCCCCTTATTAGAAGGTGAGAGCATGTTATAAATCTGAACATGTTTTTCAGGTTGAATTTCTGGCTGTTTATCTTTTGAGATTTAAACTCGAGTTTTAACAGATTTCTTTTATTTCTATTTGCATATGAGAAAGGTTTAGTAGAACAAGCCAAGAAGGCAAATCTATGTATTATAGGTACATGTGATTTCTTCGTCTTTGTAAATGGCTGGTTTAACTTACCTGTGTGCCAAATGTTTTCTTTTCTTTTGTTTGTGATCTATCAAAGTCAGAACACCTTTGTGGCAATTGTCGATCTACCTGAGGGGGAGCATCAGTACAAATTTTATGTGGATGGTCAGTGGACCCACGACCCAGCTGAGGTAAGCCGTTACTCTCACAGTCATTTATTATTTATGACCTGTTGTCAAACAAGCATATTTTACTTTACTTACCTAGACCTCAACACAAAATCTGCAGCAGTTTCAGTTTTTAAAGGCACTGCAGCTCTGCCATTCCTGTAAAGTCTGGGTAGACAAAAGCATAAATTCACTAATGCAGTAATATTATCATTACATTATGAGTAATAACTTGTGAGTGTATTAAGGCCACTAGTGTAGGTTATGATGAGCTGGCTTCGTGACTGACTGCAGGCATGTATCTGAGTCACCTTATCTGATGTCATGCTTTAACAATAAACATCTTTTTTTTTCTCTCTTCAGAAATATAGTAACAAGTGTATAAAATATTAGCACACACATATGGTAATCAGGACAAATGGTGCAGTGGAGGGGCATGACTAGAGGTAGAGTAGTCATGGGTGGACATTAGTTTAAGAGGCTTAAGTGGTTTGCTTCACATCATGATGCTTGTTAAAGCAAACAGTGGCCTGCTATTATATAAATTATGTCTTTTTGGTCTATACTTTTGAGCTTTATTTGTGAGTTTTATTGTCTCCTGCTTCCTAACAGCCTGTTGTAACCAGTCAGCTAGGCACAGTCAACAATATCATTCAGGTAAAGAAGACTGACTTTGAGGTTTTTGATGCGCTAATGGTGGATTCGCAGAAATGCTCTGACATGTCAGGTGAGTTCTGACAGCCACTGTTTATCTGTGCTTTTTTTTTTTTTTTTACATTTACTGATCCAGACTACATGTCTGGAAAGCAGGGGTATAAAAGTGTTCAAAAAGAATCTTCATTCATTTTAAAGACCAACTTTTTTTGTTCCTGCCTTTTTTAATGGATTTAAACATTGCTGTTAAAATCTATAGGTTTGAAAATAATTTAATGTTCTTGTCATACTGTTTCCCCCTTTTTTCCCCCTCAGACCTTTCTAGCTCTCCTCCTGGGCCATATCATCAGGATTCTTATGTCCCTAAACAAGAAGAGAAGTTAAAATCTCCACCCATTCTTCCACCTCACCTTCTACAGGTCATCCTTAACAAAGACACTGGGATTTCTGTAAGTAGCTGTAATCTGAGCTTATTTGAATTTGGCTTATTCCCACTTTCCCCTGCCCGCATTTCATAAAAATAGAATAGCCCTTTATTGTCATTGTACACGTACAACAAAATTGTGAAAAAAATGCATCCACAAGAATAAATAATACAGATCATTTATTTTAAATGTTGTTGTTTTGTTTGTCATTGTTTCACAGTGTGACCCTGCACTGCTCCCAGAACCCAACCATGTCATGCTCAACCACCTCTATGCACTTTCCATTAAGGTAAGGTTTCAGGGTGACTTTTAAGATTTTTGTGTTTGATGTTTTTCGGCAGCGTGTGAGAAAACTTCATCAGCTTTGTAAGCATTTTAACAGAAAGTGTGCGCTGCTGCTGCTTCTGCTTTTAGCAAGCTTGCATGTTGTTGGCACAGCAGATTGAATCTATGCTATGCCAAAAAGGCTGATAAATGGAACAGAAGAACAGATGAAGGACAGATAATTCTCCTTCTTTCAACTCTCTGACAGGAAAAACAAACTTTACTTGCATTTCAAGATAGCCACAGCAAATGTCTGCATGTCAACAAAAAAGGAGTGGAAAACAAAATAAACTATGTGTATTTTCCATTTCAGGTAGTGGGTGGTCAGATATTCACTTTTTTCCATTTGGTTTCTCTTGTAATGTTGTTAAGTAGTTGCACATGAAGCAGATAAAATGCTGCTGTATTTAGCTTAAACACATTTTGAATGACTTTATGTTCACCAGTGTGACCTGTGAGAAAAACTTGCATTTTGGGGACAATCTAAGTGGGTCTGTTGAAACTTTACTAATTGTAATTTCTCATCTTCTTAATGACTGTTGATATATTAGTAATTCTGCTAAGTGACAATCTCGAATATGCATCACATTATTTCATTATGTCTTATGTCTGGTTGAGTAATCTGATTAAAAAATACTTCTGTCCTTTTAATAGGTCCTTTAAAACGAACTGCTCAGACAGTTCAATTCTAGAAATTGCAGTGCTTTTAATAGCTTACAACTTAACTAACAAATAAACCCTTTCATTGTATTCATGAGCTATTGAAATCAAATGCAGCAATAAATAGTACAGCAATGTCAAACAAAAGTCAGGCATAATATAAAATAGTCTTTACTTGGTCTTCTTGGAAGTCTTTGTTACGTTAGAAGGCAAGTTCTGACAGTATTGCTTCTCCTGGATGAGGTAGTGTGTTTATGTGTGTTTTGTGCACCTCCATGTGTGTCTGTGTGTTTAAATGTGCTAGTGAATGAGTTACCGTGTGTGTCCGTAACCTTTAAAGGAGCATGTGAAGCAATGAAGAAAAGTGAGCATATCACCATTCTCAGAACTGAGGCTTGAGGCCACGTTTCCTGCTGCACAAACAGACACTCTGATAGTGTAGATGTTAATAATTAATGTTAATAGTTAATGTTTAGGATAATTCAGTCTGCAGCCTAACAGTCCCAGGTCAGTGACTCAGTGTTACTGGCCTGTGGAAAGAAAAAAGGAAAAAAAGCAAGCTTTTATTTTTATA